AATTAGCCCAAAGCAACAAGCACAAGTGAACTCAGGCCAAAATTTGCCTATTCTGATCACTCTCAGATGGATACATATGAGATGGTCCACTAAGCTGTACTTCAAATGTGTATGCATTTTCTCTCGCCAGCTCTACTTCTGTTCACCAAGCCAATATTTGTTAGGCACTTTATTCTTATTAAGAGAGTTTAACACTATGTTGGTCCAGTGGACGACAAATAAAAACATGATCCTTTCTCTTAAGCTTATATTTATGCTGTGTAGGCAAAGTAGAAAAATATATATTTCCCAGGATAACCACTCTCTAATGTCTTCCCTGATCTCCTGAATTCTGCCTAAAATTGAGCTTTGTGGCTCCTCCCCCTCCACCTATCACCATCCCATCAAACCTGCTCTTTTCTTGAATTCTCTCACGTTCGGTTCAAGGTACAGACACTCAGGGGGAAGGTAGGTTTGATTAGGGGTGGGGTTAAATAAAAACCTACCAGTAATTTTTACATTCATCCTACATCCAATAGATGAGCAAATTCTAACTGTATATCATAAATATTCCTAAAATTAGGAATCCCCATTTTCATTTAGTTGTAAATCCACATCATCTCTCACCAGGGTCATTAACTGGCCTCATTATCTAAGTCCCTTCCCTCCAATTCTTACTCCAAACCACTATTCTGAAGGCTCCCCATAGGCATGGCACACAGCCCTTTGCTAATCTGCCCTGTAACTTACCTCTCTCTCACTCCTGCATCCCACTCTGATATAACAGTATCTCTTCTTCCAACCACTCTGAACTTTTTTCAGGTATTTCCACCTATGTTTCACACCTCTACACCTTGTACATAGTTAATTTTGCTTGGACTGCCCCTTTCCTAATCCTACACCAACCCATCCGCTAACGCCTCTTATGACAAGGCCTGATACCCTCTCTGACTAGTTACACTTCTCCACTCTGAACAGTTAATCCCTCCCTCCACTGTGGCATCACAGACCCTGTACATACTTCTATTATTCCTTGCTGTTGCTGTATTTAACCTAAAATATAAATGTGGTATTCTTTGAAATCCTCATACAGTTTTATAAACCTGGAATCCAACCCAATGCATAACAAAAAAAAAAAAAAAAAAAAAATCAAAAAGGAGGAAAAACAAAATAAATGTTTGTTGTATAACTGAGTGAAGCTTTATCTTTTTCTATATATTCCCTTCTCGTTTTCTTCTCTTTTATGATTAGTGCCCCACAACCATGAATTACGACCCAGTCTAAGTTATGTTAGTAAGATGATTTTAGAATTCTGATGCCATGGAAGGAGACAACTCTACCCAAAGGCTAAACCAGTCAAGTCTCCAAATAAAAATAGCAATTTTCCAACAGAACCTCAACTCCGAGAGAAATCTCTCTTTCCAGTACAATCTCATGTCTTCTTGCTTCCTTGGGTTATCCCAAGAGAGTGACAGGTTTCTAAATGAATTACAAGGTTCCTTGATCCTCAGCAGGCCCAATCTAATCAAGCTGCACACTTTTTGTTTAAGATAGAACAAGTTTCGCTACTAAGATATCTTCATCAAAGAGTCTGAGACTTTAGTCTGTAAGGCTTCTTGTGTAGCTAATGTTTCTCTGAGTGTCTCTTGAATACTACTCATTTTAGGACTGCTTGACTTTAAACCTTACTTTCTCTTTTTCTGATACTCATTCATCACTTGATATTTATTTAGCACCTACTCTGTGCTGCACACGATACCAGAGCTCTGGGACCATTACCCACAATTTTCTTACTTGCCTGACCTAACTGGGTACCTGACTTATGGCCAAAATGACAACCAGGATGGTGTGGCATGGCTACCCCTAGCCCGTTTATCCTGTGCTGGGACCAAGACCCGCAAGCTCTCATCTTCCAGTCTCCAGTGGAAAGGGTACATACATTTATGGTCCCCAGCTAAGACTACAGCCTTTAGTAAATCATCTCTTTTTTTCTCTAAATTTTTTCTCTCAATATTCTTATTTTGTTTTAAAATTTTTACCTAGCTTCTTTTATTTTTAGAAATATATATATATTTTTATTGATTTCAGAGAAGGGAGAAGGATAGAAACATCAATTTTGAGAGAGAATCATTATCAGCTGCCTCCTATATGCTCCACACCGGGAATCAAACCAGGACTTCCTGGTTCATGGGTCAATGCTCAACCACTGAGCCACACAGGCCGGGAACCTAGCTTCTTTTATAAAGTTGAACATATAATTTTTTCCTTTCCCTTAAAGAAACACCAACATAAAACTGAAACATCAGACATAGCCTGTTTTCTTATTCATATACAGCTCCCAACACAGTGTCTGTGTCAGCAGCTCCCCAGAGAAAAAAGTGTTTCTCTCCGCTCTACTGGCACTTTCCAGACTTACAAACTCTCTGCTAATAACTGTGGCAGGTGACAAAACACTGCTTGGTCATAAATCACAAGGTAGAAAGAGGGCTTGATGGAAGCTGAACCTAAAGTAAAGACAGATTTCTTATGATAAATTCGAATAAGATATAATCAGAACTGAAAGGGAAGCTTGGAGTACTGGGAGGGGGAAGTTGAAGAAAATGCTGGGCAAGGCAGATCCAGCACCAGTTAAAGTAAAAAACCTAATACTTGCCTAGTTGGTTTGGTTCAGTGTATAGAGCGAGAGCCTGTGGACTAAAGGGCCTCAGGTTCGATTCAGGTCAAGGGCACATGCCTGGGTTGTGGGCTCGATCCCCAGTAGGGGGAGTGCAGGAGGCAGCCAATCAATGATTCTCTCTCATCATTGATGTTTCTCTCCCTCTCTCCCTCTCTGAAACTAATAAAAATATATATTTTTAAAAATCTTATACTAAATACCATATTCTCTGGGGTATAAGACGACCCCCTAATTTTACAGTTAAAACAGATTTAGGCCTATATTCACTGTATAAGACTACCCCCCCACTTCCGAGGTAACACCAGCTCTTTTTTTTACTGTTTCTTCAGTAATATCATTCCAGGCTTTTATGACAAAGTTACACAAAACATCCAATTGTAGCGCACGCATGTTTCCTCCTTTTGTGAACATCCAGACGATTTTCGGGATCGAGTTGGAAAATTCGTTTAGCGGCATATCGAGGCGTTTTTCGGGATATACTTGGCATATAAGGCGACTCCCGATTTTCGGTTGACTTTGTTTTGGTTCAAAAGTCGTCTTATACGCCGGAAAATACGGTACTCAACCAACTCACACAGAAAAGAGGTGTGTGGAAAATATAATAGTGGAGAGCCAAATCATTTCTGATTACCCCAGTGTGGGGCTGATCACTCCAATTCCTGAATTCCTGTAACTATTTATGTGGTACCCAATACAGGCTTGTTCTTGTAATGCTTATCTTATTTGCTTGGTAATTTCCTTGGCTGTCTATTTCATCTTTATAATTTTCCTCTGGCAGGCAAAATTAAAAAAAAAAAAAAAAAAAAAAAGCAATCTCATGCATCAATTTTGATATTTTTCTAGTGTTATTTTCCAAGGTAGGTTAACTCACTGGAACAATATACTAACATCATGTTCTCAGCAATTATATTTATCACCTAAAAATAGTCTAAGTATTATACAAACAATACATAAACTCAAGATCAGTTTAATAGTAATGAGACTGTTTCCCCATTTGTATCTCATTTTATGAATGGCAAAGCTAAGGCCAAACAATGAAGGTAATGACCTTTTCCTAAAATCAAAAATGCACTTCTAAAATAACAAGCATCTTATAACATATACATGCCACAAAAACGTGCATCTATATTGTGCTCTATATTGGCAAGTGTCACACACTCTTACCTTATTTAAGCTCCACAATTTTTATTTTACAGGGAGTAAAACAGTATTTATAGGGAGTACTTCCTGAGGGAATTAATATTTATTGAGTACCTACTGTTCTTTGATCGATGACTAACAAATATGATCAAAGTTAACACATTATATGCCAGTAACTTCATGATGCACATTGGTTTTTAAAATGTGCCTGCCAGAGAGGAATAGGTGAGATGATTTATTAAATAAAAGATTTTAGGGATCTTGCCAGAATTCAAATTATTACTCATCAAGTCTTGGGTAGGACCCGAGTTTCCTAAGAAGCTCTTAGGTGACGCTGGTGCTATTGGCCTGCACTTAGTGTAAGCTGTAAAATTTATGAATTATGAACCCTAGCTAGCACTACTAAAATAACAAGTATTATAGAGTGCGGATGTACCGGGCACCTCTCACATCCTTTCACCTTCAATGACTCTGAAGTAACACTATTATCATTTCTACTTGACAAAAAAAAAGACTAAGGCACAGAAAAGTGAACTTTTAATAGATCGCACGTCTGATAGATGAGGAACCAGGATTCAAACGTAGGCAGACTGGACCCTGCAGGGCATTGTTAACCATTACACTTACATCTAAGTCAACAGTCAGATCAGAACTCAAAGCCAGGGTCAGTGATCTTCGGTACCCATCTCCCATGCCTAGTTCTGCTATAATGATTGTGTCGGGACCACATGATGCCAGAGGGCTGGGAAACGAGAAAAACAGCGCCTTCCTCTCAGCAGAGCAGGTGGGGACGGGTCGGGGCAGTGTCCTGGATCTCCGCGCGAGAGGTCCGAGGGCTGGCTATGGGCGGAAGTCAGAGGGCGGGGCCTGCGCCAGGGAGAGGTTCCGGGCGGGACGGTACCAACGGGCGCCGGGAAGGGGCTTCAGGGTTAGAACTACGTGGCTGCTCCCGCGCCTTGCGCCGAGGCTGAGCAACACTCCGGCAACTCGGCTCTCCGGAGTTGTGAGCGCTGAGTAGCGGGGCTCTCTCAGGCCACCACCGTCTCCTTAAAAGACTCTTCCTCCCGCCCCCCAGCCGAGTGGGAAGCCCCGGAAATGGCGGCCCAGCGGTACCTGGCCAGTCGGGGTGGCAGAGTGTCCGGTCGCTTTACCAACTCCACTGCGCCCCACGCACATCCACCCATTCCTTCGCCGCAGCCCTTACCAGCTCTTTGGGCGGCTTCTCCTGGGTCTTTCCAAACAGCCCCATGGCCTTTAATGAATTCGTCTTGCCCCTCCCGGCTTTTCGCTCCCTGCGCCCAGGCAGGTCACGGGCAGCCGCCGGGGCGGGGCCGGAGAGGGAAGGAGCCCGCCGCCCGGAGAAGGGAGCGGCCGCAGGGAGGGCAACGCGCATGCGCGGCGGCGCGGGCAGGCGGAGCTTTGTCCGGAAGATTGACGCGAGTGCGCATGTTCCGGGAGGGGATTTCTTAAGGGAGGCGGCCCAGTAGGTGTTTTTCCGTGCGATACGGAAGGGAGTCACCTGAAAGGTAGAAACTTACTGACTCAACCTGGCGATTACAGCTGCTCCCGGTACTTCCTGGATGTTGTTGTGCCAGAAATCTGAATCTCCGCCCAGAAAAGGTACAATTACGGCCACTTTCCAAACAGCTTCACCTGAGTCCGGTAGGCGACTCTCAGGCAGCAGCCTGATGAGTTGCTCCTCCCCTCTGTTGTCACCACCATCACCTGGTCCCTAAAACCTGAGCATCATCTTCTCTCTCCCCTTCTTACCGGTTCCCAGCGATTGTAAACTTTTCAGTACACTGAACTCCAGCCTCTTGTTTTCCGTCCCAAGTATCCCAGCTTTTACTCAGGCCGAAGCCATTTCAAACGTGGGTGATATCTCTGTGTGTGTTCCTAGACTCCAAATGGAATGTGACCTTTATCAGATTCTCAGAAGAATCAGAGTCTACAAAGGTCTTCTAGATCCCTTTTAGTTGGCCAATCTGATTGAACTACACGGGTAAGCTGAGGGTTAGTCACCTCAATTCATGATAGGGAAGAGACCACTCATTTAGTGCAGCAACCCCATACCATCTCAAGGGAATATAATATGGTACAACCACTTTGAAAACATATTGGACTGTCTTAAAGTACTAAACATAAACCCCTTTTAAGTCATTCCACTGCTAGCTATTTACCCAAGAGGAGAAAATTTATATGGCCTTACAAAGACTTGTACACAAGTGTTCGTAGCTTATTTGTAATAATAGACAAAAACTAAAAACAATTCAAATGTCCATCAATAGGTGAATAGATAAAACCCATTATGATAGATTCATACAATGGAATACTACTCAGCAATAAAAAGACCAAGCTTTTGATACGTGCATCAACATGGATGTGCCTCAAAATATTAATAATTATTTGAGTGAAGCCAGAAAAAAAAAAAAACCTCTCTACTATATGATTTCATTGATATATATTCCAGAAATGGAAACTATAATGATAGAAAGTAAATCAGTGGTTGCGAGGAGATGGGTTGGCTTGGAAAAGGAGGAAGAATTACAAAGAGACAAAATGAAGCTTTTATGGATTATATAAATTATCTTAATTGTGTTGGTTTCACAGATGTATATGATGTCAAAACAAACTGGACCCTTAATATGTAAAGTTAATGTCAATCAAACTCAATAAAGTTCTTTTCAAAATAGCAATATATATTTATTGTAAAAGTAAACCTCCCATTTATACTTCCTCATAGGTAAAGGGCACAAAGAATTCGCACCAACTAGTTAGTGTCAATCTATACATATAAAAGCCTAATATGTTAATTGTCCCTCTGATCAGGGGACACATGAGGAACATGGCAGGTGCAGACTGTGATGGGATGGTGGAGCAGGTGAGCAGTGATGCCAGACCAAGGCCAGGCACTGGATGCTGTCAATGGAGCAAGCCTCTGGTGATTACTGGAGATTCTTTGCTCCCACGCACTGTGGTCCCACCGGACACTCGCACCTGCTGCCAGCACCAGAGTCATTTCTCACACCCACTACCAGTGCCTGGCATTGGCCCTGATTGCCCCTCAGGGCTACTCCACCTCCCCCTGCTCCTGAGAGGTGATCAGGGCAGCAGCACTGGCCCCAATCGCTCTGCACTATTAGCGGGTGTGAGTGGTGCCGGTGTCAGTGTGTAGGAGCAATCTACAGATGGGACAGGGGATGGAGGGCCAAGGCGGGAAGGGCCAAGACCTGCCCCTGTGCCCACTGCAGCCTCGTGACCCACAATTCATTTCAAGGTGCACGAATTCATGCACTGGGCCCCTAGTTAAATTATAAGTATAGACACAGTTTTGAAATCCCGACAGTATATAAGCCCATCCTATTACTTAGATCCTTGCTAACAATTATTATTAAAAGTATTATTTCTAATTTTCATTTCTAAATGAGCATCTTTTTGTATATTTGTTGGCTACTTTAATTTCTTCTGTGAATTGTCTCTTTGAATTCTTTGTTTATTTAACATAGAATTGTCTCTCTTCCTGCCACCTTCCCCACTTCCTTCCTACCTTCTCTCTCTCTCTCTCTCTCTCTCTCTCTCTCTCTCTCTCTTTCTTTTTTTTTTTTTTTTTAATGGGAAAGAGCTTTTTGAAAATGAGGGTTCTGTGGAATGTTTAAAGGACTTCTTATCTTTTTTTTTTTAGAATGAAATATAAGCCAGCAATTTTTCAGGTAGGAGAACATTGGACTTCCAATTAGTCAATGGTATTTATTGAATGTCTACTATGTTTCAGATATACTACAGAATAGGAAATCTGCAATGAACAAAAAAGAAACCCATACAATCCTATGAGAAAAACAGTGGTGATAAATAAAAATGATGGTAATAAAATTGAGTAAATTACTACAAATGTGGAAAAACTCTAAATATTAAGAACATGGTGATCAGTGAATCTTTCCTGAGCAGGTGATGTGTAACCTGGGACCGGGAAGATGAACTAGCAGGGAGATGAAGAGTACCCAGTGCAAAAGAAAGAACATGCGCCCCAAGAGCCTTCCCAGTCTCTAGGTGGGGATTTTGGGCCCCAAGGCCTTTCAGTTCCTAAAGGGGACTTGTTCTGAAGTTGGTCATCAAGGGCAGAGGCCAGAGTGTGGAGGAAGGTTTAATTTGGCATATGGCATCTCGCTGAACTACAGAGCCCTCTGCTAGTAAACACATCAATGTAGTTGCTCCTCAGCAACCAGAAGGGCACTGTACATCTTCCACATTTTCTGGGCTCCATCCTCAGAGGAACGTATATCTTCTATTCATGTCCTGACATTGTGTTGGTGTTGGACAAAGTTTAAGCTGTGGGCAATGCTTTTTTCCTATATGGACCTCATGACGCAGGCCCTCTCACCCGCTAAGACTCACATCTGAGGGAGTGGGAAGAACTAAGTGAGCAGGCATGCTAGCTCTGTGCTCCTGCCAAGCACAGCAAGTGTTTAACAGGATCACCATTCCCTGCCATATGTCACAAAGATGTTTACTCACACACATTTTTAAAGGCTGCATGTGCGCACTCTTCCTGATCCATGAAAAATATTATAAATGCATGCATATCCTTGACTTGAGAAGTCCTGCAATGCCTGATGCTTTAAATCTTTCCCTGATTTTAACATGAAAAATAGGACTGTGTTTCCTCCATTCCCCAGGTTGTCCTTGCTTATTTCAGTCAAATTTTCAATTTTAGGGAGCTTCCTGGCTCACTACTATTCCCCACTTACCAGGTAGATTATTAAATGAAATGCTTTGGGCAAGAAAATCACAACCCAATTCCTGGCAGGAATTTTGGTCTAATAAGTCCAAGATACACTTTATTTCCTAAAACTCCTTATTTTTTAAATTTATTTATTTATTTATTTATTTATTTATTTATTTATTTATTTTTATTGATTTCAGATAGGAAGGAAGAGGGAGAGAGAGAAACTCCAATGAGAGAAAATCATTGATTGGCTGCCTCCTGCACACCCTCTACTGGGGATCAAACCCACAATCCTGGCATGTGCCCTGACTGGAAATAGAACTGTGACCTCCTAGTTCTTAGGTTGATGCTCAACCATTGAGCCCCACAGGCTGGGCAGTACACTTTATTTTTTATAACAGACTCTTAAAATGTTAGATATAAAGTAACCTTTGGAAAGTTGAATTCCTTCCCATAACTTATAATTTTGAAGTGGATTTATCTTCACTTCTGACTAACCTGCAGATTCCACAGACTCCTAACCACGACTTGAGATAAGGAAAAAAAACAAAAAAAAAGACCTTCAGTTATCTCCTACCCATTTCCAACCTCCCTCCACCAACCTTCAATGATATTTGTATTAGTTTCCTAGAGTGTGTTATAATAAAGTATGACAACCCAGGATAAGTTTATCCTTTTATAATTCTGGAGGCTATTAGCCCAAAATAAGGTCAGCAGGGCAATGCTCCCTCTTAGACTCTGGGAAGAATCCTTCTCTGCCTTCGCCTCGCTTCTGGTGGTGGCCATCACTCATCGGCATTCCTCAGCTTGCAGAGGCATCACTCCATTCTCTGCCTCTATCATCATAGGGTGTTTGTATTGCTCAGCTTGAGCTGCCATAACAAAATACCATAGACTGGGTGGCTAAACAATAGAAATTTAATTCCTCACAGTTTTGGAGGCTGATATCTGAGATCGGAGTGCTAGCATGGTCAGGCTGTAGTGAGAGCTCTCTTCCTGGCTTGGCCATCTCACTGTGTCCTCACATGGTATCGCTTCCTCTTATGAGGACACTAATCCCATCATGTGGGTGCCACCCTCATGACCTCATCTAAACCTAATTATCTCCCAAGGGCCTTATCTCCAAATACCGTCACATTGGGGTTTAGGGTTTTCGAATATGAATATTGGGAGGACACTATTCAGTCAGTAGCAATGTTCTCCCTCGTGTCTTCTTATAACACACCAGTCATATTAAGGACACCACCCTAAATCCAGTATGACCTCATCTCTAATTACCTCTGCAATTACCCTATATCCAGATAAGGTCATTTTCTGGACTTCAGCATGTCTTCTGAAGGGATATAAATTCAACCTGTTACAACCCTCATCCATATACATGGGTCCCCCATTTTAGAGAAGAAAGAAGGTGATAGAGGGTGGAGGGAGACTGGTTAGCTGAATCCTTGGAAAATAAACTAAAAATCTCTACCCTCCATGAGTGGCCCCGAAGTAGAGGCAGTTTCCACTTGGGAAGGTTAAGTAGA